TATCCGTCAGTGGCACGATACGTGTTGGTGTGCCTGTTAACACACCGTTATATCCCCCCCCACACACACACACATGCACACCCTGGCCCAGATCCTTCTCATGAAGCAGCACTGTTTGGTCGAATGTACAGCAGAAGGGAGGGGAAAAAAATGCTTCAGCTCCTGAATATCTCCATGGAAACAGGCTGGAGAGCAGCATATTCCACTCGGCATACTGTCAGACACTGAGGATGAATCCAGTCCTCATTAGGGAAGCCAAAGCACAACACACACCAGGCAGTTGATTCCATTATTAATTGTGACAGCTTTTTCCACCTCAAAAAAACCCACACACCTGGATGAGGGGTTTCCTCATGTAAGAAGTCAATACACTCCAACTAGTTTATTGGACTTGAACAAGAGATTATCTCCTCAGGCTGATCAATGCAGATTGTATGATTTGCCCGCACGCCTATGCAGTATTGTCCTTGCTTGTCATCGATTCTCCTGAAAACGCCTCACATTTATAATTTTACGTGCAGGATTTTCTTTTGACGTGGAAACTAGAAATCATTCTCGAGTCAGGATCGTTGATGATACACTGATAAAAATACACAAAAGCAGGCGATTCTATTTAAATAAACTCCCTGAATTTATAACAATTTGCTTCAAAATCCCACAGAACTAAAAGGTTAAGAGTAGGCCACAGTGGCTTTCGCTGTAGGCCATGTGCTAAAACATGTAGCGTACAGTGCAGAAAAGCCTTTCAAACGGATATTTAGGGAGAAGCTCACATTTGCCATTAAAATTAACAGGGCAGAGTGAAATTCACCTGCACTCACGTAGATACAGTTGAGGTGCCTCACTGCTTTTCTGTCGTACCAACAGTGTGTCACGTCATGTGGTCAATATATATCCTCCAAAACACTCAACTACTTCTCCTGACGTTTATGTGATGCACAGTCAGCTTTACTTAGGTCAGATGTGAACATGTGTTTCTTAGCACAAAACGGTAAATTGTATCAATCGTGCTTTCTGCTGCCAATACCCAGCTCACTCCTCTGAATGCTCTCTATATTCAAACTCATATTCACTCTTCCACTCACTCATACACCCACACAGCTTCTCTCGCTACCTAACATGGTATTGTACCAGGCACCACAAGGAGGGATTAAAACAGGGAACAAGGATTCTGGTTATTTCCATCCAGTTTTTCTTGGGGGTTTTTGTTACCGGACTGAACATCAGGCCCCCAGAAAACATTAAGATTACAGAAGTGAGATGAAACTTTAATGATTCCTCTGGGGGAGGGGTCTTGGGTCACTGCAGCAGCAAAAGAATAAGGGGATACTGTAGACAAGAACAGAACAGATGAAAAATACTGCCGAGTTAAGACAGGATATCTCACAAAATCACACTTCAAGCAAAAGTGCCAGATATCCTGTGGTTCCAGCTTCTCAAATGTGAGGATTTGCAGCTTTTCTCAGTTTAATATCATTACAAAAAGAATATTCTTCGGTTTTGGGTCATTGGTTGGACGAAGACATGGTGGCGTTTTTCACAATATACTGACCATTTAAAGACCATATGATTAGTCATGCATTGAGAACATAATCTGCTCATTAAGTGAAAATGAAAAGTGAACATGAATGAAAATACATACACAAATGGCTATACAGAGAAGACATGCAAGTGTGCATTAACTGTTAATAGGATATATCATATTTTCAGTCAAATATCATGAGAGAAATGTGTCAGACAAACTAACACACTGTTTTTAAACACTGCAACTACAATTGAGTGTGTGCTGTTTTCACTTTATCTTGAACTGAAAGTACATCAGCTGCTAAGACAGTTTTTTTGTGTTGAGTGCTGAATATAATGTCTCTCAATTTTACCTTTTGTATTGTAGACACTGTCATGAAGCAGGAGAAAATGCCACGATGTCACTAGCAAAATGCAAGGTGATGAAAAGACAGTGAAAAGATGTGTAAGTTGTAACAGTCTAAGATCTAAATAGGTAAGCTGCTAACCCTTAATCATTAAAATGTAAGTTAATTGCATGAAAGTGTCATTCCCTGAGGCAGTTTTCATCAACACTCTAACTTCGTATTGTTATAAAAGAATTGTTCTGGTGGAAAGAAGTAGTTTTGTGCAGCTCAGTAGGGAGACTGACGTAATAATCTGCCAAATTTTAAATGTTTTATGTTTGCAGTTTAGTATTAACACTAGGTATTAACATGTACAGTCATCACCACCATGAATGAAGAGACAAAGAAAATGTTGCCACCAAAAGAAAATCAAGCTTCTTCAACAGAAAATATGAGTAAGAAGTCATTCCAGTAGTGCCAGTTAGACTTTCAGGTGATGTCTTGATCATGCAGTACAGCTGCACCACAGCAATGTCTCTAACGGCTGGATAAGACAACATAAAAGATATATTAAAAATGATTCTGTGGATTATTACTTAAAATTCAACAGAACTCACTTGTATTTCTATTGTTGTCCTGCTCTGCACCCGTCAATGAATCAACTTGTGAGTTAATGGCTGGTTAATCATTCCGTCCTGACCTCCAAACCCCCACAGCAAACAAAGAGAAAAGATGCCATCAACAGCCAGATGTACTGCAGCTTTTAATCCTAAAAACAAACACATTCTCTCTCTGAGTGAAAGTAAGAGGGTACATAAACAAATTACCCATTTTCTAAACTATGTCAAATGACAGATTCGCCCATTCTCAAATTAGGACACAAAAAACAAACTATGCTGTCCTACAGAGGTTCTTGAACATGAACTGAACCACCTTCATATCAGCTGCCAAGTTTCAGGAATAAAGGAGTCCAGCTATGTTTGTGTTTTTAAAGGAATCATTTGACATTTTGGGAAATTAGCTTAGCAGAACGACTGGGAAACAGCTAGCCTGGCTCTGTCCAAAGGTATCAAAATCTGCCTACCAGCACCTCTAAAACTCACTTCATAACATTCTATATTGTTTGTTTAATTAAAAAAAGAGAAACAAAGACAGATAACCAGCGAAGACTCCTGAAAGTGATCCAGGCCAAGTGAAACAGCCCCCCCGTAAAACGGCAAGTTCAAGCCTTTGTGCTGTGCTAAGCTAACCGGCTACTGGTTCCAAGTACAAGTATTTACTGTACAGACATGACAGTGGCATTAATCATCTTATCTAACTCTTGGCAAGAAAGCTAATAAGGATTCATTTAACCATCGTAGCAGTTAGCCTCTACCATTTTTACCCCAAATGCCCATGCTGTGTGTAATAAACATTGCAGCCACTAGGAGCTGCTGGCAGAGTTTCCACTCTAATTCTTGTTGGAGAACTGACTAAATGAGGCGTTTCAGGATGCCAGTGTATCTGCTGGAGAATCAGAGCAGTAAAAAGCCGCCTGGGAGATGCGAGGAGCTGAGACTCTGCTCCTCTGAGACCCTCCTCTGCATCCTAATGCCACATGTGACAAACAACCACCACAGCCAGACACCTTCCTACACAGGAATTCAGACTGATTCGGTCCACACAGCTGGACCAGTGTGCCTGTATGCATATAGGTGTGCCTGTAACTCACTGTATGTACACTGAATTAGGAGATGGAGCTTGTTGCAAGGGCAAACGCTGTATGTACTGTTTGTGTGTGTGCCTGCATGTGTCAAGACACAAGGATTAATGCTTCTAGTGACAAAGAGTATCTGTCAATCCTCTGCTGCATCACAGTTATAAAAGAGCCTAGACTACGATCTGATCTGAATGCAAACATGAATGAATGTGAATGTACCTAACATTTCAAGCCAACACAGGTTTATGGTGTTTTGTCTTCTTTTCCTTATTCAGGTCAAAACCAACACATTTGTGCTTTTCTGGGCAAACGAATACAGGAGCTACACAGGGTGCAAGACACTGTCAAAGGTTTCAACTCACACACACACAGACACACACACATATGATAAAAAACCCTGAAGCCCTGTCAAACAGCAGAATGCAGGATTTGGATATCGCTGCAGCACCAGCTAGTCTCCATCTCTTATTATGAGGAAGGGTGTGTGTGTGTGTGTGTGTGTGTGTGTGTGTGTGTGTGTGTGTGTGTGTGGTGTGTGTGTGTGTGTGTGTGTATGTGTGTGTGTGGTGGGGGTGATGAACCCTCATTGGGTCACTTACAGGTTCAGGCTTTGAGGCTTCAGATCCAACATATGATTGAGAGATTGAAGGATTTAAGAAGGATCGCAGCGTTCAGCTGTTGGCCGGCAGGTTTTTACAAAATCACAGATGGAATAAGTTCTCCTACATTGCCCATCCACCTCCCCACCACCACCACCACTCACCAACCCATGCCCCTGTCCCCATCTACCTGGTCTCATTACCCTTATCTGCCCCTTTGTTTCCTCTTTTAATCTTGATTTCCAAATTTCCAAATACGTCATGAAGACAAACATAAAAGCGATTTTTTTTTTTTCTCTACAATTCGCTCCATTACATAATGATTCACTATTGGTACTATTAAAGAAGACAGCCTGTTAGTTATTTTGAAGCCTGAGATTCTGCCGACATTTGTGGCCATAAGAAGATCGATGGAAAGCTGTTTGGTCACATTGTCAAGATGAAAATCCCCTTGCTGCCCATCGAGAAGCCTGGTTGAGGAGTAATCCCTCCCACCTTGCTGGATTCTGTTACACACACATGCATATGAACACACATACACACACACCTGCACTGATCGCTGTGATTGAGGGGGAGACGAGAAGCTTTTCCTCCTAAACCGAAGACAGATGTATTTTGTCATATCCGACAAAAGATCTATCTCTGTGAGCTTATTTAAATTTCTCTTCATTGCGAGGAATACTAATTACTTAATCTGCGGTGGCAACTTCTCATCTACCTGTTAAATTCACACGCACACACACACACACAAGGCTTTAACAGTTCCACCGAAAATGTCTCAAGAAGAAAGCAAAAAACATAAAAAATCCAAATACGAGAAACATTTTTCTGGACAGGTCCAAGTCTTCTTACCTTGCAGCGAGTCTATGTTCTGGAGACATTGGAGCACATATGCGGCGCGTCTTCACACGATGACAGGGAAGCGGCGGACAGTCATGCAGAGGTGTTTCACATCTGAGAACGGAGGGGGAAAGCAGGATTTCTCCTCTGTTTTTCTGTTCCTTTCTTGTTCTTTTTTTCAAAGCCCTCAGAGGAATGGAGCACTGACAGAGGAGGAAGAGGAGGAGGAGGAGGAGGAGGAGGAGGAGGAGGTGGTGGAGGAGGAAGAGGAAGAGGAGGAGGTGGTGGTGGTGGTGGTGGTGGTGGTGGAGGAGGAGGAGGAGGAGGAGGAGGAGGAGGAGGAGGAGAGGGAAGGCTAAGGGAGTCTGCCGGGCTGGGCTGCTGTGGATCACCTGGAGCAGTGTTGAGCTCCGCATTTACTCCTCCACTGCAGCAGTGCGAGGCAGCGGCGCGAGCTGCATGTTGCTCCCACAGATCACCGTAAAACAAGGACACGGAGTCTCCATCTGCTGGATTCAGGATTCTGCAGCTCTGTAGCTCCACACGCTCCTATCCCCATCAGCATGCACACTCATGCTGTCCCTCTTCCCCTCTGGGTTTCTATCAGCATCCCTGTCTCTCTGTGTGCCTTTGCCTCACGCTCCTTTTCCCACTCGGGGGGGGGGGGGGGGTTAAAACAAGTCACCAACGTATTCCCATTGTTATTTGGCGCTCACTTTTCCTGGTTGTGTGTCCCCCGTACTGACTGGTGCATGTGGTCATACATCTGGCGCCCTTGGTGATAAAACGTCAAGCTCAATAAAGCCTCAGCCAACCTCGTGCGCTTCCTGCAATGACATCACTCCTCCGACCGAAAAGGGAGGGAGTCGTTCCCTGGTCTTGTCGGGACCCTGCTGACGTCACCAAGATCAGACACGTTTCTCATGCCATGTGCAGGTATTTAAATAGGCGTACAATCCGTAAAGAAAGTTACCCATAACTGAACAACAGGACGCACAGAGAGGCACGCCAAAAGTGATGGTCCCACTTCAGGTAAACGCCACAAGTTACATCACAAGACTTGAACACATGTCCTGTCTTTCAACTACCTCTTATCCAAACTAGAGCCGCAAATTCCACCAACCAGCAGAACACTTGATCTCCAAGTCCGACCGCCCTCACATTCCCCTCACGTCCTCCCTCCTTCACCAGTCTCTTCTCTCTCCTACAGCACAGCAGAGCTTCTAATGTTAAGAGACAATGGGAGAGAGGAATAAGTACAGATTTGGGAAGGATCATATTGATTTTATTCATAATGTAAGACTTATTTGTATTCTGGAGGAGAAGAGGGGCTACACAAGAGAAATATGAGTGCACCTTCACTAGATGAAAAAGACACATCAGCAGTATCTGATGCAGATAGAAAAGACAGACCGTTTAAATAAGGACATGGGAACACAAAGCTGTAAGAGCTCAAACCTAGTGAAAAAGTCTTTCTCCCGTTTTCTGTGCAGGTGAATGTTTGGAAAGAGACAATGGTTTTCAGCCCACAATCCTCTCTTGCCAACTGTTAAACGGTCATGATGGCTCTGTGTTGTGGGAGTCGTTAAAGTGTTTTAGACAATGCAGCAATTAAAGAATATGAGGAACAGGTGTGCCCTAAAGAACAACATTGTTTTCTTGAAAAACTGTAAATGTAAATGTACTTTATTTGTCACATACACATACATGTTGTGATATTCATCCTCTGTATTTAACCCATCCCTCAAGAGAGCAGTGGGCAGCCGCTGTGCAGCGCCTGGGGACCAACTCCAGATCTTATGTCAGTGTCTGGTCAATGCACTGACTGAAGAAACCTAACATGTTTTTGATTGTACTAGCATTTCAAGCTAATGTCTCAAATGCTTTCCACAGTCTCTCCAACCGAAAGTACTGGTGGTTATCTATTATTCCACTACGTTACAGTTGTGTATGACAGCAAATCAAAGTCGACTGAAATTGATCCTCATTAGTTGGTTGATTACAGTATTCACATGTTCCATGGTTATTTAGTCAACCCCCTCCAGATATTAATGGGCACATTTTAAAATTTTGAAATAAACTGCCTTCTTTGAAACTGTCACAAAAAACATCCTGGACACAAAGGTTAGATAGAATTATAGGGGAGGCGTAGATGCAACAAAGTGAGAAATATGATTTAAATATAAAGAGACAAAGTCTCCAGATTACAAGTAATCCCACACTTTGAGCTTTTACCCTCAAGGAGATACCATACGCACGTAAGAGCCATTAAAAATGTGTACAGCAAGTCGCTTTTGCCAAATGCAGTTAGAATCCTGAATGCAGTCTCCTTATGATCTGACGAACAGAGAGCATAATCTAAAAAATGTAAAATGGGAAGATATTTCATTCTATAGAGATCATAATACCTTTCTAGTAGTTATTTCCCCGAACAGTCATCATGAATAATGAGACTGTAGATACAACACAAGTACTGAAATTATTGTGATAGTTTGCAGATAACTATAAAAAGACTCCTTATTTAAAGCCTTTCGTTTTATTGAGGACGAGAGATACATTACAATCTTTGTGCTGTAGTGATGGCTATGCATCCTTTCAGTGCTGCTGACAAACTGTTGAGCAGCATAAGCAAGCAAAGTAAGTAAATACATTTTCACAAAGTAACACAGCACACAGTCTGTAGTGAATTCTCAAATGGCCAGTTTCTGAAGTGCACCAGTGAGTGCGTCATAGCAGCATTTCAATACGTTATCAAGTAAACAGTCCCACCTAGTGGTGAACCACTGATATGAAGCGCTTAAGGAATATTTACACATTTGTGCTATAATCCTGTTCTACATTAAAAACCATAGACAAACAGAAATGACAAACCGCCATCAGACTCATTTTTTAAGTTCAAGCTCCTGCACATAAAGTCATAATGAGCATCACTGCTCCTGCCACGTGGCTTCCTTGCTTTATATTCCTTAAAGAATACAAGTTTAGTCCACACAGTCATTAACATTCTGCCTCAACCTTGAGAAAGCGATGAGTAAGGTATGATCAAGAGCTCTGAAAAGTTCTGTGGATGGCTGATAAAGAAAAGAAAGAGAACTCGAACAATTCTTTAGGTTATGCACATCAAACACGCAGAGATGTTCCCGCATCCACATTCACTTCATCCGGAGCCTTTCTGCTGACAAAGCCTGTAAAAGCACAGTAGGACCCTACACACGATTAACTCGCAGATAATCTCTGATGTGTGGTCGGGCTGAAACTCCACTGTCAGCCCATTCGTAGTGCTTAAAAAGACATTTTCAGAATGCAATTAACACATATATGACCATTTGAGCACAGCAAATGCTGTCAAACTTGAGTTTAGTCAGTCTTTATCTAAGGATGGAGTTATGATTCAGAATGATACAGCAACACTCTGACAAGCTACTAATGTGCAAAATGTAGCTGAGATGTTAATGAGCAGAACAAAATGGTGAAACCTCAGTGTAAAAATAGTTAAATATGACCCTTAAAATGTTTATTCATTGGTGAATTATACACCGACAAGTCATAGGAGAATCATGAGAAGACTTGGTTTTGTGTGAAGTGAATTAAAATTCACAAAGTAAAAATTCAAGATCACTCTTTAATGATTTCCTCGTGGCCTTTTGCTTCAAAAGCAATCATAGTGATAGTGATAGTATTTGAGGTTTGTGCTGATGTGAGCCAGCATTTGATCATCTATAATGCCCAAAAAATGCCAAGAGAAAGGCAGCAGACCCCTGCAGTGCTTTTTCCTTGGATGGTTCTCGGTGCTTTGACCTCTGCTGAGAGAAGGAGTCGTGCAGAGTTTAACTAATTAACAACTATCTCCTTGATGCTCTGTGCCCAAATTCTCCACACATCACAGCAGCCAACACCTCCACCACATTATGTGAGGTTTATTTGCTGTCTTTTGGTCTGTCTTGACTCAAGCCTTTCCCATCATGCACTGGGCAGATGGTGGGGAAACATTCATCTGTTAAGTCGATCTTTGTCACTTTAAGGGGACAGTGCTAGAAAGGCTTGAGTTGGAACTGATTTGGTTCCAACTCACTTATCAGCAAAGTTTCAGCCTCCATAGGCAGACGTTTACAGTGCAAAAGCTCTGTACCCACTGTACACTTCCTGCACAGCACCAAATGGCCGAAAAAGTTATCAACTAGCTGGTCAACATAGTGTAGAGGTTAGCAACTAAATAGTCAGATAACTCTCTCAGGAGTTGAAGAATTAAAATTAGCTCAAATGAAGGTGAATATTGGACTTCACAAATATATTAATTTTTAAATGGTATATGATTTCCTAAAAAATATGTGCATTGTAGGTTGTTTGTATTGGGGGGGGGGGGGTGAGCAAAATGATTTAATAGTGCATAGGAACTATTTTCAGCTGTGGATTAACACACATTTGGTTTGCTGCTTACTTTTGGCAGTAATGTAGGATTGACTCAAATGAAACTTCAGATTGGTAAATTATATATGTTATAAAGTTCATACAATAGTTTTATGTATAACTTATTTGTGGATGGCCAAAGTTATGTTTATATTTAATATTATTTCCTTATGTGCAAGAATACAGGTTCATATATCTTTATTGTTTATGCCAGGTGATAGTGCTGTAAGGTGATCTAGTGCACATGTGTATTTAAGTATAGGGAAAAACACGTCACTAGTTAAGATGTAGAGAAGTCTGCAATTTGGGAAGAAGTTTTAATCTGTTTAACAGCAGAACATTAAGTTGGTAAAGGATCGGTCTGAGATATATCGTCTTGTTTGGATAGATTCACCTGCCCTGTTGTGATCTAAATCTTCAAATAAATGCTCATTCAGCATTTTCCCCTCCTCTGAGGATTATGAGTACACTGGTTTAATTTATAAGACAGCTGGATTTAATTAAGCGTGTCAAAACTTAGATATGCCCAGAAGGCTAAGTGGCCTTAGAATTTGCAATATGGTAAAATGTTCTGTGTTTATGGTAATGAAGGAACATGTCACTCAGTGCAACTGTGACTCATTAATCTGTTTTTAATCATTTTTGGACAAAAAATGGAGGTCTGTGGCAGATAGCAATAAGATATATCAGGATCTGGCTACAAAGGCAAAACTTAGTATGATCAGTTTGGTCTTTTTGTGGGATTTGTTGACAAAAAGAGAAATATAGATTATCACCAGGCGTATATCTCTTATGGTTTCTGAATAAAGTTTACACTATTACTAAACACCAATGATGCAAACATGGTTGACTGGCCAAAATGGTCTCCTACTCCTGAAAAATCGTCACTTTAAAAGAGCAAGTATGCATCCACCATTAACACCTTTATTCCTTCTGATGCCTGCTACCAAAATAAAAAAAACCCTTCCCTATTAGCGTGAATGACACCTCCTCATTAAGTTTGACTTAATCACCCCTCCCACCTCTTACCTGAATCCTTCTCAAAGAAAAGACAGCAGTGAGTCTGTAGTAGCCATGGTAACACCTGTGACAGATGAAAAGATGGATGACAGATATACAGTAGTACAATACAGCTGAGTCACTCCAGACAGACAGACACACACATACACGTAGATCGACTGAATGGAGGGGAGCAGCACAATGTGAACATGTGGGCATTTACAGACAGAAGAAACTTGAGGGAGAAGCTGTGGGTCCTCTCCATTCACAATGGCTTTTCACTAAGGTAAAAAAAAAAAATAAAACACCCCGCTCATCTCCTCCTTCTCCCCCGACACACTCACCTCCACCTCCAAACACATGTACTCTAATTCTCACCTCACCCACACACCATGCATCATTCAGTGCTATTGATTGATGGGTGCAGGAAACACTCAGTCAAGTGAAAAATCATTCAGTGAGTGACTCATTCATGCTCTGTAAAACTTCTGGCCGTTTCTGACATTTGCACCTTCACTCTGACCAGGTGCGATGCTCCAGCCGGCCATCAGACCCCATGTAGGTGCACCTGAGATATAACGGGCAATAAAAATGATAACAACAATAACAGGCTGCGCTGCAGGCTCGGGCCATGCACAAACACGACACTGTTCCTTCCTACCTTTTTCAGCGCTGACATCTTCCTCCTCAGAGCAGGTCACTTCTTCTTCGATAGTAAACGGGCGATAAATAAGTGAAATGCGATCACGTCCCCGGGTACCCATGAAAACGTTCATTGCGTTGTTCGTTATAAACATCTGCAGCAACGCGGCCGTAGTTTCCCATGATGACGGCGGCTTGTATGTGTTTTCTTGTCCAACGCAAGTCCTGATGCGGCGGCAGACTCCATTCTCAGGAGATGAATTATAACGCACTGATGTTGTTGTGGTCACTGAAAGCACAGCTCCTCTTATGAAGGCAGCCAATATCAGACGCCATTTTCACAAAGTCCGCACCTACAGCATACTTGCATGATATATAATCTAACAGAAATAACGTGACTTCGCAACATCCCAACATACGAACTTATACCTGCAGAAAAAAAGTACTAAAAAGTAAAAGCAGTCCATTTTATTGGTGTTGGTTGACATTAGATAATGGTGACGTAGGCTACATAATTCAAAGAGAAAATACACAAATAAAGGACAGTTATGTCACTTTATCTAATATCACAAGCCATCAATTATTATTATCAAATATGAGCTAAAGTTGAAAAATAGACAAAATATAGCAACACAACAGTCACATAATTTTCATATCCTTTACCCTGTCTGTTTGTTTGATTTTCCCTATTAGTCAACATTAATAACTTTGTTTACATTGCACTTTTGATAAACAAAGTTTCAAAGTGCTTTAAAGTAAAAGGAATACTTTTTTTTTTTTAAACAAAATAAAAAACAATAGTAGGCTATTATGCAACTAGATAAGAGAAAGCTATACAAAATTTAAAGAAGGGATCTGCTTGTGCAGCCTGATGAATAAAACAACGAAAAGGTACCTGTGAAGATCTAAAAAAAACTTTTTATTTTAAGGGCCTGAACGAATGAAAAGCACTGTGCTATCCTGGGCAAGTGACTTTACTCCAGCAGAGCTTCATGACAGGCCAGTGTTGGTTGACTGCTGTGTCTCTGGGCAGCTCCTGTAGGGTTTAGTGTCAGCAGGTATATACTGGCAAAGCACAAGCTCAGCAAATATTTCCTTAAAAAAAGTACGCGTAATTGACATCCAGAAGTGAAGTTACTCCCAAGCTGCACCTTTACAGTCTCCTCCTACACACCCTAATCTACACTGCCTCTGTTTTTGTCTTTTACTGACACACACCTTAGGAGTAAGATATCGGCCCGGAACTTGGAGCCAAAGAGGAATTTTTCTGTGGTGAAACACAGTTCACAAAATATTTGCAGGAAAGGCAACTAGTTTTGTTTTAAAGTGCCTTATTATAATTAGTAGTTTACCAAATGGTGCATATTATAATTAGTAGTTTTCTTAATGGAATCTGGTGTAAGATAAGATAAGACATGATAAGATAAGACGAGACAAGACAAGACAAGATAAGATGTACTTTATTGTCCCTGAAGGGAAATTTGTTTTGGACTCTGTCTGTTCTGCAGCTTTACAAAGACAACACAAAATACAGAAATAAACATTTCCCAACACATACTCTCATGCAACACAACACAGCTCTCATATACAATAGACAGGTACCTATATAGCAGACACATTAACTCCTTCTTCCGATGGCAATTTTTGATAACCCTGTCGGCTGCATTCCCTGCAAATGTAGCACAACCCTTGTACAATAAGATATTGCACAACCAGTCTATGTATTGCCCAAATGACATATTGAACAATCCAATAGCTTATGTATTGCTTAACTTACCTATTGCACACCCCAATAGCCTACATATTGCACAAATGAAAAATCACCCATTTCACATAACATATGCAATACACAATGACATACAGTATTGAACAATCCAACAGCCCATGTGTTGCACCACTAACCTATTGCATAACCCCAATAGCCTACTTATTGCACAATGACAGCCCAGCTAGCCTACATGTTAGTGTTGATAAGCTTAATGGACATAGGCACAAATGAGTGTTAGCCTGCATATTTGGTAGTTTTCAATTGACTCTGGTGTATATTATAATCAGTAGTTTCCAATTGGACTCCAAATGTACATTAAATTAAGTAGTTTTCTTAATTGATTCTGGTGTATTTTATAACTATTAGTTTTCCAAATGGAGTCTGGTGTATATTATATTTAGTAGTTTTCCAAATGGACTTTGGCCTGCAGCATGTGTTGAAAAAACAGCAACAATGATAATATAGATGTTTTACATGAATGGAAAAAAACTCACACAAAGTTCTAATATATACAGTATTAAAACTCACATGAATACAACTCCTTGTAGACCCACTGAGAATAGTGTCAGAGTTAGAAAAATGTTCAAACTCACATTTTTTGAAGCCCCACTATGCATACTTACACAAGATTTGATACTAAACTATTAGAAATGTGTCTTTTGCTGGTGCATGGTACACACAGAGATACAATAAAGTACATTTGAGAGCATCAAAGTGCAAATAAAGAGAAAACACAATATATGTGTTATTATTTATTTCATATACAGTAAAATGCTGTGCACTAACTGCTGCTGGCTAAACTCTCTCAACAAATGGCAGTGGGAATAAAGAACATTTTAAAACGACACTTCAGGGAACTCTGAACCTCTGCCCCTGACCTGCATCAACAAAGTAAGTAAACTAAGTAACTTCATTCAGCCTGCAAAAAAGTAACTTAAGTAAATGTTACGTATTAAACCAACTGTTTTGGGCAAGAATAAGAATATACCATATTTAACATACCATTTTTAATTAGATAAAATTTAGATTTTTCTTTGTGGATTACTCAGTGTTTTTTGTACTGTATGAATGAAACAATATTTCCAAATAACTCTATCACTCTTTCATTATTCCTGTCAGAACTGAGTTTGGTCACTGGAGGGCGCTAGAAACAATCTTCTTCACTTTGCTCTGTCCATGGTGCTGAAGTACTCAGACGCACTACATAATAATAATAATAGTAATACACAACAATCTGCAGTCTCAATCTGTCCCCCCGTCCCCCCCCTCTCTCTCTCTCGCTCTGTTATAGACTTCTATAGGCCTTCTAATTTGACTTTACTGCATGATGTGTCATATGAACCAAAAGTCAAACTAAAAGAAAATACGGGCCAGAAAAAATAAATTACATTTCACTTATTTTCTTCACACCAGTGCCTCGAAACCTATTCAATATGTGTTTTAATGAAGGATCTGAGACCATTTGCACTGCTGAAAGGCCGCCCCTGTGTGAGTGCCCTAAAGGGTTAAAGGCATAGTCAATCTCCTCAGTAATGTGGTTAAATTCCTTTTAAAAGTACCCAACTCTTTATACAGTTTATGACACAAAGTAATTACAGTAAGTAACACCAAATGCTAGACTCCTATGTCTCCCCTGTGTGCCATTGGTTTAAAAGCACAAAGGCTGTATTTTTCCATTTAAGGTATCATAATGTCACTTTACTTACGATTTTAGTTCTGGCTGTGCTAAATTAGAAGAATCTATTTGTCTTAGTGATGCTCAACATGTGTGTTGCCAGTACAGCATAATGTACAGGTGTCTCTTCAATGACACTTGGAAATGCCAGTTCTGACTTAAACTTTTGGGCCAGCTCACCTGGATTTAGCAAAGTTATGTCTGCTAAATATTACTTATATATATACTTATTTTCTGTCACATTGAGCTAAAACAGTGACGTAATCCAGACGCCGTGAAGCTGTAACCTACCTACCTGCGTGTTGCCACACCTGCATTTAGTGATAATTAGCTAAACTGCTTCCTCGCGCTGCTTTGCCACCGTCCGCACATAGCCTACTTTTATTAATTAGACCACATCATTTCGACGTTTGAGTCGTTACTTTGTGTGAAAACATTTTCAAACATCGCTCTAAATAATATTATTAACCCCCCAGCCCCATGTCGTCGATTCAACGTGCAGCTGCTACGCAATCAGTTTTTTTCTGCCTCCTTCTATGTTTTTTGTCGCATTGGATTTAAAGGCGCAGCGGAGTTGGATATTACTGGGACCCAAGTTATAGGCTAGGTGTTGGCTGCTGTGTGCGTGTGAAAAGGGGAAATCGGGGAAACATGATTTTCAGTAACTCGCACAGTGTCCTCCGGTGAGTTTGGGATACGGGACGCTGAAAACGCCGACAGGGACGTCGAGAAAGCCGGGGATCAAACTGGAAGGCGTCCAGCTGGCAGGCTGAGCAGGTAGGATGAATGAAACTGGTGTGTGTAGCGTCGTTTGTTGGATGAAACGTATGTCTCAGCCGAAATACTTTCACAGAAATAACATCACCTGCCAGGATACGGATTGTGTTTATTGGAAAACGTGACTCCAAACTTCATTCACCAACCGGAGAGTTTAATGTTATGTGGCTTCTTTGGAAACGCGATTGTGCAGCACAGCACATTTTCAAGACGGTTGAGAAATTGATAGAAAGGACGCGTTGCTACGGAATACAATAGTTATGTAATAGTTCTGGTTTGAGAGTTTCTTATCCTGGTAGTCCAATCCTAGTCCCTAAAATGATCTGCGAAGGCCAGTAGTCAGCAGCGTGTCTGTTGTGAAATTTGTTATTAATTATTTTGAAATTAAGTGCCTAATCGAAAATCATGTGCGTGCCGAATTTCACTGGAGATACTCTCAATGTCTTAGGGAGGTTAGTTATGACGTTTAATATATACGTCTTTTCTCAACAGCCATAGCAACCTTAAATCGCTAGATTATTCAATAGATTTTGGTTAATTTGTACATGCTACACATAACTCCACACCACTGCAGAGGAGCCTCTGCATACTTGTTAGAAAGGACGTTATCATTTTAACACATCTTTGGCTCTTTGTTGATCAACACAAATATGATTTTATGTGAAATGTATAGAAAAGCTGTATAACTGTATGCTCTTAATTCGTGGGGCCTCATAAAAATAATAAATACAAATACTACAGGCAGTACAGAATATTTTGTACTGTCCAAAAGCCATTTGTATTTCCTAGTAAGAGAAACAACAACCTTTATAGAACTCTATTGTCACATTAGGGGAAATGTTTGGGCTCCAAGCTTAGAAGATGCACTAAACATGTCCTGAGCTTTTCTTGACATGTTGCACTTGGCAGTGAGTCATGCTCATTAAAAGATTTATATTTATTCCCTCTCATCCATACAGTAGTGGGCCTCACAAAACAGAGGACGCAGTGAAGGACACTGGGATAGCCTATCCAGACACCCACCCCTGCTGGATTATGGGTAACCATACTGGCAAAGAGACCCATGGCACTACAGGTACCCGAGGACAAAGGCAAACAACACAAACAATGCTTCTGTTTCAAAACGCTATGGGAAAAATCTCTCAGACAGAATTGCCACATGTTTTTCACTTCAGTGTCCATACAACCACCTTAATCCAGGTCAAAATCAATGTGTTTGCGCTCAAAACAAACACACAAAAAAGTTCTCTGAAATTGTTATTGTTTTGTGCTGCAGACAATGATAGCATCAGCTTTGTACTTGTTACTCTTCTGCATTACAAAAGAATAACAATGCAGAATACATGCATGCAGAAAATGAGAACTTCAGAGGACTATTGTGTAAACCAGTTTATTTACAGTTGGAACAGCAGATTTTGCTGGCTTTAACACCAGGTAAATGAGGGTAAACTCAAAGTTACATTATGTCCTCCTAATTCTTATAAAATGTAAAGACACACATCATATCCTTTGGTTTACTCAAGGTGCACTGATATAGTACAAAGGCAACACAAAGCATGTTCTGATCTTAAGTATCCCACTAAACCAGGAATAAGGAAACCCTGATAAAAGAAATCCAAAATGTTTCATTCAAACAAACTTATTACAAGATTTTTGTGCAAAAGTATACCTGTATAACGCTAAATCTCAAAGTGGGGCTGCCGACACTCGATAGATGCAAAGTAAATTCTGGTGTCAGCTCCTGTATGATTACAGAAACATTTCTTGGCACACGGGAAGTGATGAATCAGAACTTTGCAGTGAAATACAAACTGTATCTCAGAGGATTCGGTGTAAGTTGGATTCAGCAGCGTCCGATCTTTTTAGTCTCTCTCAAGCCTTCAGTATACTTCAGTTAAAAGCTAGCTGTCATTTTGCTCAGCTGATGTGTGAAATTGCCCCGTGCTGCCTTACATGTCTTGTTTTCTAACTGAAGACAATCAGCCGGCCGCTCGCTCAGTTTAAATCTCACTTACAGCTGTTTAAAATGCTGCTCCTCGTTTCCCCTCTTGGCTGTCAGTATGCAGGAAGTAGGCTCAGGATAGAGGATGAGAATAACTCCCCTGCCATAGCTGAGCAGACTACATCATGCGGCTGCCAGGGAAATGATGAGTCGGCAGAATCCTGCTGTACAACACAAGGACAAGAAGAGGAAGCAGGAAAAGATCTGAGTAAAAGCAGGTGGAGAACCCTGTAGCCTGCCAAAATCTACACAAGTTTATAACCAGTGCACACTGTAAACAGCATACAGTCACATAGCTCTAACACTATTTCTCAGTGACAGAAGACACTTTAGATGACGATTTTATAATACATAAACTAAGCCTGCTTTAAAAAAACCCCAATGAAATCACTCTAAATTCCTTGAAAGTGGTTTATGCAGAATACCAGCAGCATGGATGATGGCTGTAATCGCAGTGAGAGCAGCTGTTAGCTAGTAGATCAGGGTAAAATCGTCTCTCTTCCTGGATGTTGCCACATGGGGGAACAGTGTGTTAGTGTTTGTCTGCCAAGACATTGGCAGGAGAGGCTTTTTGCTGCATCAGTCAGCACCAGGACAGTAAATAAGGGAGCCGACACTGGGTGCTTACATCTGCATCGAGGAATAGAAGAGGGGGGGCTTTGCATTCAGCACACTTTTCATCTCAAATTAGATGATTTTAAGGCTCAGGACATTTTGGTGATTTTGCTCCTCATCCGTTATACAATTTATTTCCCACTCTTAGGTTCTCCTTTAGATTTCTTCCACACACCTCCTACCACGCCCTCAGAGGCAGATCTCGCTGCCATGGCCTTGTCATCTGCAGCTTCCTCTAAGAAGACACAGACACCATCTCCAGCCGGCAGCACCACCCCCTCCGCCACCTCTTCAGTCGCTGACTGGACGCAGAAACTGTCTTCTCCCTCAGAATGGGCTGTGATAAGTGTAGACAGTATCAACTACTCGGAGACAAAGGTGAGCGATGCAGCAGCGAGCCGCAGGAAGGCGAAGCTCAGCCCGGGCAGCCCGGCGTCCCTGCCTTCAGAGCAGAGCTGGCAGGAGCAGGATAGTGGAATGGAGCCGCAGGCTGCAGCAGAGAGAGTCAGAGAGGAGATGACCCTGGTTTTAATCAGTCTGATGGACCGCTACAGGGCCTCACTAGGCCTGACCCCCAACACTGATGTTACCACAGGCGCAGTAGGTATGTCCTTGTTTCGTTTTCTTAAAGATACTTTACGTACACTCTTGTTAACCCCCGTTGGAAATCAGAAGGAACTGCAATATTACTTACAGATTGATAACTTGCATAAAACTGTGACTTACTTAAAATCATCTGACTGTGATTTAGTAATGTGGCATGGCTTCTTCAGATAGTTTAGGACTACTGAATTGATTCAGCATGTGGATAAAGTAAATGGACAATGTAGAAGGAAAAGACTTAAATGGGTGTTTTAGTGACTTAGTATTTTCATGCAAGAGACAAATTAAGGATGAGATGTCCTGACTTTTAGTCAGTCGTGTGGGTCAAGATCCAAAAACACTGGATCCTACATTTCCCATAATGCAACCCAATAGCGTACAGTATTTTATTATTCCACCCCTGCCTACATCTTTCAAACTCCTTGCCTTCAGTTAAAAATCCATAGTCTTCAAACCCATACTGAGATAACCCTAATGACATCACAGTGACATCATGAGTTACTTTGACTTTAGAAAGTCTTCCAGAGCCACAGAAGCATAAATGTGATTGAAAAGTGGCAAGTAAATGTATTACTTAATTTTCCTTCACTATAGAGACAAGACAGTTGTCACAGCAGACATTTTGGTGCTTCAAAGACGTGTAACTAATAAAACTAACAATGGCCACATACAATTTAGGTATATTGGTGCCAGGCCCTATCTATCAAAATGGAACAGAGCCACCATTAATGTTTCTTCCTGTTCTGTTAAATATTTTATGAAATTGTGCTATATGTTGCTCTGGAGTAAATAATAGATGAATTACCCAATCTGACTGCAGTTGTCAGACTTCAAAATCCTTTTTTCACTGAACCTTGTGTGCCTTTTTTGTTTGACTCGTCTGTCAGAGCTGCTCAGGCGTTTGATAACAGAGAAAGATGAGCTGGTTGAGGAGGTGGACACACTGAGGGAGACACTGAGGGTGAGTTGGAACTGCAGGTCCCATGAACACCCTTAGGCCATAAAAATGTCCAGAAACTCACATTTCTTTGCTGTGAAATAGAGACTTGCTTTGGACACTTACAATATTTTTTTTTTCTGGAAAATGAATAAAATCTTTAATTTCATTTACTTTTCTTTGGCATTTCAGTCTTATGACTTTTAGGCCATGTGATCACTGAATCAAACATATTCCAATAAAATGTAAAATAAAAAATCAATTATTTGTCTTAAAGTACAGAATTTATTCAAATATTCATATGGTAAGAGATCAGAGGCAGCAGTAACATCCAAGACCTTATGGAGACCAAGATTACACTGTCTCTTTTCCACTTGGTCCTCTTTCTTTTGTCCTCCATGACAGACGGAAAGGTTGGAGTGGCATCAGTTTCAGTGTGACCTGCAGGTTGCTGTGTCTGTGGCTGACCGGCTGCGGGTCGAGTCGGAGCAAGCTCTGGGTTTGCTCCAGGAGAGCCACAGGGCTGTGGAGGAGCAGTTGGCTCAGGCCCTCATCAGACAGCAGGAGAAGGATGGAGAGCTGGAGAGTCTGAGATCCGAGCACAGAGACGTCTGCCTCAAACTAAGAGAACTCACCCTGCAGCAGCAGCAGGAGCGGGCCGAGCTGGACGCTCTGAGGAACGCTTACAGGGTGAAAGACGTAACAGATTGTGATGAGAAGGCGGAGAGACAAGACTCTGATGGGGGGGAGGAAATACAGGAAGTCTTGGAGGAAAAGCCCAGGGAAGTTGAAACTGACACTGAAGCTAAAAATGTTGAAAAGCAAAGAGAGGAGAATGAAACAAATCAAGAGGTAGATGCTGAAGTTGTAGGTCATGATCCTGAGGAGGCAAATGGATCAGGGAGCATGTACCTGAGAGGCAAAGGGGTGGCGGAGGGATACCTTCGTAGTTTGGCTGCTCTGGAGAAAAAGAAAGAAGGGGGACGTGGGCAGAAAGATCCGAGGAGGATTGTGATGCTTTGTGAAAGATCTTGGTGAGTCCATATTAACGCTCACAACACAGACCAACCCCTCTTAATAAAAGAGTATTATAAAACGTGCAAAAAAATGTCTTCTAGGAGTCTCTCTCGTCTCCCACTCTCATCTGACTCCTCCAGTGAGAAAGGGACCTCAAAAAACACAAGCACAACGTTGCCACTATGCAAGGTATAAATAACACTTGTTGAATTGACATGAACATATTCTTTAAACTATTGTATGGATGATTATCTGAATGATTAAGGAGGTGGGAAACTTTGTATTGGCATTTGTAGAATCACTCAATGGTGTCATCTCCAAACTTTTCCAGAAAGAAGAACCACCAAAACAGAGACGGATAGACCGAATTTTACAGCGGCAGGACAGCTGGTCCAGTTTTTACACAGGTGTGCTAAAACCTACAGTACTAACCCACCTTTAAGTAAGTGTTCAGTTGTATGATGGAGGCTGCATTTGCTTCATGCAGGAAAACAGGATGAGGACCAAAGCACAGATTCCATCAAGTAAGTAACTAGTAGGCCCTTTTTTTTTTTTTTTTTGTTGCTGATACTGACATCTCATTGTCTGTGTTTAAAAGAAGAAACAAATAAGACAAATGTTTAACATGAACGAGTCACTTTAAAATCATCCATGAAGTCACAATCTCTGAATCTGTAGAAAAAGCTTTTCTTGCAGTCCCCAAGTCTGTATTAAATAACTGTTAAAGTTAATCTAAACTGACTATACCTTTTTCTCATAATTTGTGGCTTTACTTATCACTGTATGTTTATATTTCTGTAACTATGTTAAGAAAATTACAATAAGTTATTCTTAAAACTAGTGAAATGTTTTCTTGCCCTACTCAGACCTCAGGATGGTTTCAGTGCTCTGCTGAGGCGTCATGGCGGCTCCAGAAGAAACTCCCTGCTGCGCTGGTGCCAGAGTCGTACACAAGGTTATAAGGTTAGGGAGGAGAATGTTGCCATAATTGAAACTGAAATTTGTCAAAATCAAGAGGAATTCTTACCTTTTTGCCAGTTATAGATCTTGTCTTCATCGAGTATGTTTTGTGGCAGAATATTGAGATCACAAACTTCAGCAGCAGCTGGGAGGACGGCATGGCGTTCTGTGCTGTTTATCACACTTATTTGCCGACTCACATCCCGTACGACACCCTAAACCCAGCAGACAAGGTAAAACCGATGCTGTTGAAAACGAAACAAAAGAAATGCTTGCATTAAGCAGATAATGTGAATATGTCCAATCATATATTGATAATCTCTAAAATCATAAAACAGAAACTGTTGAGTCCACCGAGAATTCATGTCTCACCACAGGATTCTTGCACACTGTTACGTTTTGGTCCTCAGACAACCTGATGAAGGTCAAAGGACCAAAGCATCGTTAATGGAGTGAGGACAAGTGATCGGGATTGTTTAATTATTTTACAAGAACGCCTTACTGAAAGGCACATCTGTAATTATGTGTACCTGTCCTGATAATTATAAAAACTAATTCTGACTCTAATATTTTAACAGAAGGAAAATCTGGACCTTGCTTTTAAGACCGGAGAGAGTGTGGGAATCACTGCAGCACTGGTGAGACATTTTACACAGGACACTTCTGATCTTAAGTACAAGTTCTGGAAAGTTATTTAAAACTAGCCACTGGTTTTATAATCTTATCTTTACATGTTGTGACAGACAGCGGAGGAGATGCTGAAGGCAGACGGGCCGGACTGGCAGAAGGTCTTGGGTTATGTCGAAAGCATTTTCCGTCACTTTGAGATGTGAAGACTTTTTTTTTTCCCTCTCATCTTCCTCTTCTGCCTGGTTCTTTTTCATTGTTGTGACTGTAACTAGACTGTAACACTGTTTACCACAAGATGGAGCTCTAATCATAATGAACTCGCCACCCAGGCAATATCTTAAGACTGTATTACATGATTTTATGTATCCTTTTATGTCCTTACAGAAACGATTGACACCCAGATGGAAGAAACTAAACTGGAGTATTTTTATTTTTTTTAACATACCACCCATTCAGATCAAAATAGCTGCTGGGTAATGATGCACAAGACACAAAAACAGTACCGGTCCAGAAGATAAACACAGGCTTATTAATTACTTTCACATTTGTTACTGGGTGCACTGGTCTTGCAGTTTGCCTTTCTACAAAATGAGCACTTTATTATTAACATGGTGTTATATTTTTAAGTGGATGATTTATGAATGTGGGGCAATTTAGTTTTATCTATTTCCCCTCATGTTACATCTGCATGTACCCAAATCTAAAATCCACTTCACAAAGTAAGGGTTACAGACATGAACCCAGATTTTATATGTTGAAATAGTGACATTTTAACCTTAAACACTACAGTGATGTCCATCTGAGGGAAGCTGTCTTTGCAGAAATGTGTGTATATATGTAAAAGTGTGTAAGCCCTTCAGTATTTTTGAAAACATGGTCAATATATAAAGATGTTGTTGCCAAAGCCGTATTGCAATAATAAAGTTATGTATATAGAATACCCCCCCCCACACATATTTTCTCTAGTAGTACCACAGATTCACAGAAAAACATTTTTATTTTAACATAACAAAAGAATTACATTTGATACATCTGCCAGTATATAAAAATGGTATAACTTAAAATTATAAAATCGATAGCATTAAAGGAAAAAACATTTAAGGTTCAACGATACAGGAAAATGGCCATAGTGTAACATGTAACAAATAAATACTGAAACATTTAAAAAGCAATAATTTAACATGTTTTTGCAAAGATGCTTTAAATGAAACCATTATGCAGAGATTTTAGTACGTATTAGTGTGTTGAGTTTGAAACTGTGTTTTCCATTATTTCTCAAAAGTAGATGATAGACAAATATTTGGAATTACAGTATGTTCATGTCCATCATTAGATGAAAGTAACCTTGCAGTTGACCAATGAATGTAAACCATTCCTATGAAGCTGGAATGGCGCCTCCTATAGGTGGTGTTGACAGCGGCGGCAGGAGGAGAGACTTCAGTTTAGCGGACATGGCTGCAATTTCAGGGTCCTGGGTTTCATACATTTTCACCAATCTGGCAAATTTCAGGACACCTGAAGGTGAAGCAGAACCAAGATCAATGTGAGGAAATGTGTCATCTATTCTGACGAACATGCCGTCTAGGGGTGGTGATGGCATATAGATAAGATGCTTGCCTTTGGTGTGGGAGACCTGGGTTCGATTCCCACTGTGAGACATCTACCATTGTGTCCCTGAGCAAGACACTTAACCCCTAGTTGCTCCAGAGGCGTGCGACCTCTGACATGTATAGCAATTGTAAGTCGTTTTGGATAAAAGCGTCAGCTAAATGAATAAGTAATGTCTATGCGATGTTGTAGAGCATGGCACTTCTGACAATATCTACATATAATGTGTCGGGTTGACTTGTCTCACTTTCAGATGATATGCATACACTAACAATTAGAGAAATCAAATGACACACATATATATTACATTACACACACACACTTGGTACGGAGCAATGAAGCTGTTCTGGAGGCTTGTGGTGGCCTTACTCCCTACTAAGACACTTCATGTTTTTTTCATTTGTCACCCATCTGTATGGCCCAGCTCTGGTGAATACGTTGATGAATTCTGGTCTAAAGAGGTTTCTTTTTTGTTTGTTTTTTAAAGTTAAATCCTGTGGCAAAATGTTCCCCTTTACAGCAGTGCTTTGGCTCCGAATTTATGAGTTTTCTTGTGCAGACTTTACGAGAGACAGGAGGCTCAAGTAGTGGTAGCGGCAGCTAGCAGTGGTTCTAGTCCAATGCACACAGAGTACATCTAAATGGTTCTCACCAGTAAAAACCAAGAAGCTGTCTACTACATGATATACAGTATTTGTGCTAAAACATCCTTTCTGCATGACAAATCAGCATCTAGTCAAAGAACTTGGTTAGTGTAATTAGTTTCAAAGAGGAAGAAACTAAATCTATGGTTTAGGGATACAAAGTGCTGCCTCATGCTCACCCTCTCCTTCATTGTTGAAGCCGTAGGCTTTGATAACCTCTTGTTGAATCAGGGTGGCTACAGGGAGCACAAGCTGCAGCATCTTGCCCATGTCATTGCAGGCACTTTCTCGAGCCTCCTCCATCCTGGCAGCGTTTTCTGGTACTGAGAAGGCCTGGATCACCTCACTCAGTACCACTGTGATAGCAACAAACAAAACATCAGCATTCCTTTGAACACAGTTGTGACAGATCTCAGCTCATCAGGCACGTTTGACATTCTCGCAGTATTTGTCCACTAGTCATTCAGCAATAATTATGTATGGCAACTAATTAAAAGACCAGAAAATACTGAAAATATAAACTTTATAGAAGCAGATCCTCTCACCTCTGGTCTGCTCAACAGTGAGTGTGGGCTGCTGTGCTGGAGCTGAGGCCATGTCTGGAGAGAACAGAGACAACAAGCTGTACACAGATGATTACAGTGAACAAGAGGAAAGAAAGAAACTAAACACAATTCACACTTAAGTAATTATAACAAAATGACATCCTTCTGAGTAGTTTAAAATAAAATGAAATAGCATTGGTTATAGAGCTGAACTAAGCGATTAATCGTTTCACTCTTTCTAAGCAAAACTGCAAAATACCATTTTCTGTTCTTCCACTGATTATTCATAGTTTCACACGATTGTAAACTGTAAATATCTTTGGGTTTTGGACTGTTAGTCGGTCAAAAGAATATAAATGGCAATATGAAGACGTCATATCAGGTTATGAGAAACTGTAATCGGCATGATGGAAGGAAAGACTAATAATGATAATAAATAATGATGTAAGACAGCGAGGTAACTTGTTACAATGGTCACAATGGTCCTAAACTTAAATACAGAAAGTAAACCTACATCTAGCTGTTGGAAGATGATGCTTTCTCTATCGTTTAAAAGTCTCACTAAAGTGAGTTAACCTGATATTAATTAGTCTTTCACAAAATTACGCCAACACTTGAGCTGGACATCGGTTCAATGGCTGAGCCCATCGATCGTTGACTTTCTCTCTATCGACAGATTAGAAGCTAACTTAAGCTAACGTTAGCTTAGGAGAAGGTTACCGTTAGCAACAACAGCTCAAACGTATACATTCACAAAAGTATTTTTACTGTGCGTAAAAATGGAGAGGTTTGGTTTGGAAACTCACCACTAATGAAAACAACTTAGCTTGTAGCAGCAGTGTGAAAATGTGCCAAAAAACGACACCTTTTACGACGATTGAAAGCGTTTTACGACACAACGTCCGCCTTTCAGATAGACGTGGGTGTAAAAGGTAAACAAACGTCTGGTTGAGCTAATTAACATGGTGAAGTCTCTAAAAATGTAATTAAAGTAGAAGTTAAAGTGAATGACAGTCTATAATTGTATTGGACGCTGTGTGAAGCTTTACTGAAACAAAGCCGATATCAAAACGTTTTGAATGAGTTGTAGTAGCAGCGGTTTTGCCACGTAGGCCTACACCTAAGTTAATAACGTTCGTGTAATTTAAGGAACAAGTCGGCGTGTGTCGATGGAGAAGAAGCTTGCAGAGTTCAGAGCCAGACGACAGGCTGAAAAGGCTGTTAGAAAGGATGAGAGCGCTGGTCAGCAGTGCATAGCTCAGACATCAGGGGACTCAGCTGCTCAGGCGGATACAACATCATCAGCTGACAGTCAAGAAGCAGAGGAGACAGAAACAAGCAAAGATTCAACCCAAAGCTCTGAAAGCAAGGTGAGACATCACTGAGTTTACACAGCTCAGTCTGTTTAAACTATGAAACAGGTCAGAAGTTCATTATCTCTCTGATTAAATGTTTTCTTGTTACTTAGTAGACTTCACTGTGTCAAATTTAAGATCACTTTTTCTAGTTGGTGTGTTGTGTAGGTCCAAAAATAAAATAAATCAGATTAAACACATAGAACTAAGGCTAAAACTCATGAATATTTTAATTATCGAATAATCTGTCTATTGTTATAATTACTTTATTTTTTATTGATTTATTATTTGTTGTATGTCAGAAGAATAAAAACTGCCAACCATAATTACCCAGAACCCAAAGTGATATTTTGTGATATCTATCTCAGATTGCTTTTTTCTCTGATCAACATTTCAAACTCCAAAATGTATTAAATTTACAGTAATAGAAGCAGAAAGATTCTCACATTTAAGAAGCTGTGGATGTTTGGAAAATTGTGAAAAGTCTTGTCGATCAGTGTTTCCCAAAGTCTAAGGTGACGTCCTTAAATGTCCTCTTTTGCCAACATCCCAAAGATATTCAGTTTACTGTCAAAGAGGAGGAAAGAAACCAGAAATATTTATATTTGAGAAGGTGGAATCAGACAATTTGGATGTTTTTTCTTTAAAAAGAGGACTCAAAGCAATTAATCGATTATCAAAATACTTGGCGATTAATGTAATAGTTGACAACTAATTGATTGATCGACTAATCATTGAGCGCTACCTGTAAGTAACAAGTCCTCCACTCTAAATTCACACTGTATGCCGTGTACCTGTGATGTTGAAACACATTAAACTTATTAAACCTCCTGTTGTGTCCTTCTCTACAGGACCGTAGTGACTGGCTGCTGGACAGCGCTCTGGGAAGATGGCTGACTTCGAGACAGTTTGTCTTCTCAAACCTCACTTTGCTTAAAGTGCTGCTGTGGCTGGTGCTGCTTGGTCTGTTTGCTGAACTAGAGTTTGGCCTGCCTTTCTTCATCATCTCCCTCTTCTACTGGCTCTACGAAGGACTCCGTAGCCCAGCTGCCCGCGAGCCGGGAGAACTGAGCGCTTATTCTGTCTTCAATCCGGACTGTCAGCCTCTGCTGGGCTCTCTCACTGCAGAGCAGCTGGAGGGAGAGATGGGTTACAGACCTCTGGCTAACAGATGAATTGCTTGTGATTTAAATTATATAAAACAAATCACATCTTTTTGTCTGTTCAGAAATGTTAATTTTATTCAGGAATATGCAGGATACAATATTAAATTGAATTTGTTATTTCTGTATAACACATTAAATTGAGTTTGGCCTACTTACAGTTTTATTCCTGTTCCTGTTTCTTCTTTGAAGCAGTTTCTCACATACTGTATGCTATGTCACCTAGTGCACAATATATTACTTGGTGACATTTTCCTTATGTATGATTACAGAATTTTTAAATCTGTCATTTTGAACCTTTACTTCCATTTCTTGTATTGATTAACATGGGTTTGGTAATAAGAAATGTGGGAAGTATATTAAGAAGGAAAATGGCGAGAAACAACGGCCTGTGCTGAGTTACATACACTTAATAAAGCTGCTTGTAATTTTTATGAGAAAATGTTGTTTACTTGAAAAAAATAGCTTCCCAAGTTTGATAAAGCATTCTGAAATGTCAAGCAGTATTGCATCTTGTCTCTAGGCCAATATCACAATTTGGCATTATCATTTTGTTTGTTAAATCTGCCATGTGAAATGTAAAACTCTCAAATGGACTTTCTTTATAAAACTAATGAGATTTGAGCACAAGAGTAAAGCTTGATACACAACATGGAAAGCAAGTATCTCTGTAGGTATTTTTTGTTGTTGTAGGGAATCAGTCTTTTCCTCTCGCATGAAACATGGCGGACACTTGGACCCAGAGCCCTATGACTTTTAGCACAGAGGGAACATGCTTTATAGACAAAGCGAGATACTTCGCTCACATCCACTTCCGCCTTTGCTTAAAAGACGTTAGACTGGTAGATTTGATAGTTTTTGTTTTAGCTAGGACCAAAATAACTGACACACTTTTTTTAAGCTCACTACCATATTCAAGCCGGGTTAAGCTTCCTTCTTTTTATGCGTGTTAAACGTTAGTTAGCAGATGTTACATAATGACCTGCCGTCTTGCTTGCTGCGGTAACTATCTTGACATATTTTTCAAGGGGTTAAAAGTGTTGCACTTCCTGTATCTCTACCTCTAATTCAAGTTGTTGTCGTACCCGTGAAACCTGTTTGGTGGCCACCTGTCTGTGTTCGCATCAATAAGTAAGTATTAACCCCTCTTCACCAGCATTACTGGACAATTAACTCCATATTACCGAATAAATATCTCTGATTTAGTTAGCTATGTACAGTAGCATGTTAGGTAATTAGCCGCACATGCTGAGGTTTAAGCATACAGTCTATGGGTTTAAGTTAACGTTACCCAGCTAACCTTATTGCTCTAAATAATAAATGTAAAAGGGTGTTTTGTTAGTTAAAGATAAGCGGCTGCATTAAATTTTTTTTAAATGTCCTCAACATTTTGTACATAGTCTCATAACTGCTTCGTGAAGGCTGTAGATTTTGAATGTGTCCACTCATATAGATGGCCTTTGTGCTCTGTCTATCAGGAATGTCTGGAAATCCTGCTGTGGTTATGCGGCTGGTGGCCTCTGCCTACACTGTGGCTGAAAAGGCCGGGGCCATTGTGAGGAATGTCCTTCACAGTGGTGAACTGGGCATAGTGGAAAAAGTGGGACCTTTTTATATTTGGTATTTAAATCCCAGAAGAAGTTAAAATGCTCATAACTTGTCCCACATGGACATGGGAATAGACTGAGATGAATTGTTTGAATCTTTTCTGCTTCCTCCTTATAACCCCTGCACAGACCAGAGCTAATGATCTGCAGACACTGGCAGACAGACTGGCACAGCAGAGCATTTGCGCATCACTGTCCAGATGTTTCCCCAAAATCACAATCATTGGAGAGGAGGCAAGTGTGTTCATAAAATGAGGTCCATGTACACACCGATCCCCACAAGATTATTCTAGTGTTGGGCTTAATTGGAGAGGAGTGAAAGACTGATGATCACGTGTATCACTTGTTTATTAGGAGCTTCCAGAGGAGGAGATAAGGGAAGATCTCATTGAGAATGGCCACTCAGAGGAAATCCTTCAGAAGACATGTCCTGCAGAATATAGCGGGCTGAAAGAGGAGGAGGTAAGCACCTGTAGAATCATAAATTCAACTAATAGTTTGTTTTAGCAATAGACTAAAATATTTGTATTTATAATTATTTATATTTTATATTATAATTTTACTAATAATTATTAAAAAGAGGTGCAGTACAGTTTTGTCATCACAACAAAAATTCTGGTGTTGAGTGATCAGACACTTTTTACTCTTACTGTGTCCATGTGTTTCTTTCTGAATCTCAGCTAGTTGTGTGGGTTGATCCCCTCGATGGCACAAAGGAATACACTGAAGGTAGGCTCTTCAAATGTGCTTCTTTAAAAACAAATCTGCCTCTCTAATGAATACATGATTGCATTCGTTTTGCATTCATTTTTTAGTATTAGTTGATATTGGTAATCCTAAGTTGTGATACCTAATGAAAATCACCAACCCCTTGTGAAATAATCATCATCAGTGAGTGTATTGAGTAAGAGCCCATGCAAAAAAAGTGTGCCATGGTAAGGAAACCTTTCGACTGTATTATCACATTAATATTGTGCTACAAACACAAAGAAACATTTGTAGTTATTTCAATCATTACTAATTGTTGGTTAGTCTTTCTAGTGAGTTAACTGGTAAAGGTACCGTGTGAAGTGTTTGTTGCTATGTTACCAGTTTGGATGTCGATATGGATGTTATAAAGCAGTTACAAAAACAGTTACTTCATCACTGTCAATATAAAAGTCAGTGTTTCTGTGAACACAGAGAGATTTTAAATGTGTGGAGAGAAAAAAAGATCACTGGTATCAGATCAGCACTCTGTATCGAGTTGAGGTATCAGAGTCTGATTTGTCCGATCAGCACTTACTAACAATAGAGTTTAAACTTTTGTGTTCCTGAAATACAATTTTACAGGCAGCTGTTAAACAAGTATTTTTTATGGCCATTGTAGAATGTGATGAAAACTGAATTATAATAACAGGTTTTGCCAAATTTTGCTAAGTGATTTTACTACCTGGCAGCCACTGTTTTTATCTTTGTTTTAATTTTATTCAGTTCTTCTGTCTTACTTTGCTGTAAAATCCTTTCTGTGCACCACTTTGTCGGGTTGCCTCCTGGCTCTGGGCTCTCAGAGCTTCACTATCACTTTTTCCTCTTTCTTTTCCTTCCTTGTGTTTTCCTGCTTCTGCTGTCTACATGTGTGTCTCACTCTCTCTCTGCTGACGCCAGCATCGAGGTGTCTACGTTACCAAACTGAGGCCCAGATGCCACACAAAGGGTCGGATTCCTCTCAGCCTTACAGCACAGCTCTCTGTATGGGAAGGCAACAGCAGGAAACTGATAGAAAGATTAACTCTGGCATTGGATAAAATTAACTATTTTGCAACAACGTGGAAGAGATCTTTCATTTTTAATATTTTCCACAATGACACTTACATGTAACTGGTCACATCACAAATGTTGGCTTATAAAGTGCAGTAAAAAAACTCCAGCTAACATCCTGCTCTTTTCTGAAGGGCTCCTGGATAATGTGACTGTGCTTATTGGTATTGCATACGGAGGCAAAGCTATTGCAGGTGTGATCAACCAGCCTTTCTACAACTATCAGGTACAGACCAAACTAAACAATCTTGTCTCGTAAAAGCTGTCACTCCGGTTAACTCAAACTGTTTCCTCGTCAGCTCGGAGCAGGAGCAGATTTGGGAAGAACCATGTGGGGGATGCTGGGGTTGGGCGCCTTTGGATTTCAGCTGCAGGAAGTTCCAGGTGATAAGCGTATCGTCACCACTACACGTTCTCATAGCAACAAGCTGGTAACAGACTGTGTGGACGCCATGGAGCCTCATGAAGTTGTAAGAGTGGGTGGCGCTGGAAACAAGGTGAGCTCATCTAGTTAATAAGACTAAAGTGACCTTTGTCCTATGGCTATAAATGGGACAGGGACTCAAAGAGCCAAAGTGGGCTGGGAATCCTTAGGCAATAAAGATATTATAGATGTTAATAAAGTGTTTTAGCTTGAACACGACCGGTGTTAGTGAAAGAGCCTGTTAATGTGTAAAGAGTGTTTGTTTATCGAATCATCTCTCTGCAGATAATCCAGCTGGTTGAAGGAAAGGCTTCTGCTTACGTCTTCGCCAGTCCAGGGTGCAAGAAGTGGGACACCTGCGCTCCAGAAGCCATTCTGCAGGCTGTTGGGGGTAAATAACCATCAATTCTGTAGTAGCAGAGGATGTAGGGAGTATTAAAATGCATCTAGATAAAAACTCTTGAGTTTTTTAACAAACTATATTTTATAGCCATGCATCTGTAGGTTAAAATTTAAACATTTTACACCATAAATACTTTTCAAGTCTTTGAATCAGTGTCTAAAATGAATTTAATTTTTTTCCTGTTCAGGTAAACTAACTGACATGCATGGCAATGCATACTGCTACAACGCTAATGTAAAGCACATGAATTCTGCTGGCATTCTTGCTACACTACGCAACCACGAGTACTACATCAGCAGAGTACCACAGTCTGTGCTGCAAGCCCTCAAGTCAGAATGAGTTCTGTCTTCAGACTTTACACTAATGTCCCTCTGTGGTTCACAGACTCAACACTTAAAATGCATCCAGAGGAGAGTTCCTGGACACACAATGTTGTAAAATATACATGTTCATGAAGTCTCATTGAACATACTGGACTCACATTCTTTTTGTGTCATACATCACTGAACACTTAATTAACCACAAACAAACAGATCAGGCTCCACAGCACATCCATTTATTTCACTTGTTTTAAACCAACTCTTACAAATCTCAAAACGCCTTTACATACCGTTTCCAACTTGAAGACCAATAGATTTACAAGGTAAAAGGTAAGATTTAAATAAAAATACATCGGTTAAATGTTTATTAGTCAGTTAGAAATGATTTACTTAAGTCAATAACCACCAAGTGGGAATGCTGTAATATAACCGGCTTGACGCCGACAACAAATGCCATTGACCTGATGATTTTTACCTTTTTTACAATGACATGCGATGACTGAAGTGCAACAATGTTCAGTGTGGGAGGTCGACATCTACTGCTGTGAAGAATAAAGAGCTTTTTGAGCTGCAACAACTTAAGAAATATAAAAGGTGATAACTATTTTTTAATCCTGTACTGTACGTCAGGTTCTGTGGCTGTGTTCTTCACATTTCTTTTACACACCATCTTCTCCTGCAGCGACATACGTATCTCTACTGTTCTACACATCTACTGTACTTACCAGACTAAAGGACACAAGGTGCTCACTGATGTTTAATTCCCACATTTTCCACATACATTGAATTCACGTCAGAACTGAAAGTGAAACTTGTACGCTGCTCTTTAACAAACACAAAAGCTCCTTCGGTGATGTGAGGGATAAGAAAGTTTCAGAGTTTGGCGTTTGAGGAGAAGAGATTGGAAACACTCATGTAGAGCATACTGCGTATTAATGCCCTAGTAAAAGTACAGCATAGCTTGGTTGTGTCTTTTAAAGTTCAAATAGGCTACAATGGCCTTTACAAATGTTTGCTTGCATATGGCTAGCACTACTGATTGCACTTATATCTTAAAAATCTCAGGATTTTATTGATATCTCCATGGGGAGAAAAACACAAAGTTACTCCAAGGGCAACTCTTTGAATAAAAATTTAACATTTTGGGAAATTTTCTTAGTTGATTTTTTGTGAAGACCCATGTCTGTCTGTTAAATATGATTCTGCAGCCAGCTGCCTGCTAACCTAGCTTAGTATAGTCTAAAGACTATAAGAAACAGGAAATTAGTAACCTGGCTCTGTCCAAAGATAACAAAATCAACTTACTAGAATTTCTGAAGCTCCGTAAATAACACATTATAGCTTGTTAGTTTAATCTGTACAAAAACAAAGGAGGTTATGTGCCTGACTATTTCTCCCTGAAGTTTCTGCTGGTTGTGTGGCAACAGGTCCTTGCCTAAAAACTATCAAACATGAAAAATAGTTTTTTTTGTTTTTACACTTTGTTTAATCCATTAAGTGGATTCTGTTGAACCAGGCCAGCTGCTTCCCATTCCCAGCCTTTGTGCTAAGCTAAGTTAGCTGGTTGCTGGTATTAGTTTCATATTTGACAGACATGAGTGGTATTGATCTTCTCATGTAACTCCCAAAATCTATTCCTTTAAGCAGTGTACTACTTAAGCCTATACAGAAGGGGGTAATGGCAGTAATTAGGTTAATTACATGAACTTGAGACAAGAAACGCTTTGCCCTGTTGTCTGTGAGAATTTAAGGATTTTTCATTGGCAAGGGCAAAGAACCCATCTCAATCTCACAAGAGTGCATGCATTTACACAATCACAATGGAAATTGTGCCTGGAAGGCAGCGAAGCATCTTTTCTTAACATCTTGCCCATTCCACAAGAGTTTAGTTTTAATATTGCTGAATGGACTGAGTAGCAGAGGGTTGAGTTAATATATACCATGGCATTAAAAAAATTGAAAAAATACCCACAGAACAAGCAAAAAACACTCCTGGAGTTGTTGTTTACACACGAACAAGCTGACTGAGAGAAGGCTGGAGTGTTTGAGGCAGCCTGCAGGGAGGTGGACCAGAGACCAGCCAGGGGGGAGGGGGAGGAGGAGGAGGAGCAGGAGAGTTAGGGCCAGCCGCTCACCTCTTTTTCGGTGCCTGAGTGGTGCGAGGCGGGGTGACAGGGCGCCCTGAATTCACCCCACCATACTGGTACTTTGCTTTTTTTTCTGACGGCTTCAGGATCTGAAAGAAACCACGATGGTAGTGATAAATACATTAAAAGCGCATAATCAGGACACATGTTAGGGTGCAGCAAACACTGACTTCTGTACCTGAAAGGAGCACATAAGGGACTCGTCCACACTCATCATACCCCCTGCGTTGTCAAACTCCCCGCAATAGTTGGGGGCAGAGAACAGCGTCACCAGCTGTCGTTTGGCAAAGAATTCATAGCCGTCTTCAACAACCTGTAAGAGAGCAGGATTAGAGCTGAAACATTTAGTAATTTTTAAGCAAAAATGCCAAAAATTCACTGGTTCCAGTCATCTGTTACAGTAAACAGAATATTTCAGCGTTTTGGACTGTTGGTCAGACAAAATAAGACATTTAAATATGTCATCTTGGGCTCTAACAAAAGTCTAGTTTCACTTTTTTCTGACATTTTGCATAGAACAACAACGAATTGATAAATCAAGAAACTAATAAGCAGGATGATAAATAATTTTTTTGGTTTATTTTAATTTACCAAAAGTGCCAGCACGAATGCACTCTCAGTACTTAGTGGTAATATGTGATAAAGAAGCTACAGGGGAATAGAGCTGCATTATTATGGCTAAACCTGTATTACAATTGGGGCTGGACTAAATGCCACATATACTGTTCACACAGAGGTAGTACAAACAGTACCCTGCTTTGTATTTCATTTACTGGATTAGCCAAAAACACACACATTCCCATGGCTATTCACAATTATTAATTCATCTTTAAATTAGCAGAAAACTGTCTTTTTTGCTCTTTTTTGCTGTAATTGAAAAAAAACAAAAAAAAACAGTAAAAATCCTGTCTCTGAAATCAGTGTGTCTTCTATATATCTTCTGTGTTTCTATCGTTGCTAAAATGTATTCTGACATTTTAACATTCTCTGCACAGTCGTTTGGATTTGTAAAATAAAGTTGTTCCATTTGTATTTGCCTAAATAAAGTTTAATTCCCCATGATGATCATTTGAAATTAGCCCTTAATCACAAAGCAGCGCAAGTGTTACCTGATGTGCTCGGCAGATGAGATCCAGGTCGTGACGGTTGAGAAACTTGCTGACCACATCAGCCCCAAAGGTGAAGGAAACTCCCCGATCATTCTCTCCCCAGCCCTGGACGTCTTTGTCTGGGTCTGACCACAGCAGGTCACACAGCAAGCCTGGCACAAAAAAAGAAAGCCTTAAGCATCAAGGACTACAGAAAAAACAAATGTATTAAAAATATGTCTGAATTACTAACTATCCGTTTGTGTCTAGGATAGATATTATTTTTGTCAAAACCAAAAGCATTGTGTCTAAAATTTTAACATGAAATGGTTAAACTGATCATTTTCATTGCAATTTTTAAGTATTATTCTCTTGAATAATGAAATAGCACATTACAGATTTTGTCTTTTAGTTCAAAAACACAAACAAATACTGTAGGACAACAGACCTGTGTCTGGGACATCAGTGGGTCTCATAATGCGTCGAATTTGTTCCATGGACTGTAGATCAGGTGAGAGACCTGAGGAGAACAGATGATTGTATTGTAAGTGAGACACACACACTGCATTAAATCCTATGTAAATCAGAATGCACATGAAAAAAATAAATAAATAGTTGACTTTTATTCATCCTGAAGAAAAATGACAATGTGTTGACTTAAGGCGGGTTCACAACAACCCTGTTTAGTCTGGTTGAACGGAGCCCTGGAGCATTTACCCCCTTGATGCAGTGCGTTTGGGTTGGTTTGAAAGCTGGACTCGAACTCTGGTGCGGACAAAACAACCACCTCGAAGGAGTGGGTTCGGAGCACGATCAAGTGAACTCTGGAGTGGTTAATTTCTGGTGTGAACGCCATTCAATCCAATAACAGGACGTGTGCTATTGTGTCATTTTAAATGTCATTTCATTGGTTAAAAAAACTTTTCTCTTCCTGATTTGGTGCCTGGTGAACTAGTAGCGCATTTGCTACCAAAATTTCAACTAGCAGGGGACAAACCTGGACTCACGACGAACTGAGATGACTCTTGAATTTTTCGGCAAAAGAAAATGTTTCTCAGTTACTACAGAAGGTGCAGAAGACACTTGGTATTCAAAATATTCAGTGAAAAATGAAGGAGAATGGATTCCAATGAACAGCTGATCAGCATCGTGTGAAAGTAAAAAAAACTGCATCAAGAGTACATCAAAGTACTGTACAAAGGACCAGTTGGAAAATTTAAACCATGTATCATCCTAGCGTTGGTTTGATTCAGGAACCACCTTTAGTTGTGAACCCGCCCTTACAGGTAATGTACTTGCACATTTTTTATAGCGCCATAATCACAATTAACACCTGTAGTTACTTTACACATATTAACTAATTACATAATGTAACAGTAATATAGAGATTACATTCTAATCAATCCTTTAAAATATACCATTCAAAATCACAAACCTCCATGGCAGCAGAAAATCTTCTCATCAATAATCGCAGCAATGGGCAGACAATTAAAACAGTCTGTGAAGGTCTTCCAGAGCTTTATGTTGAACCTGCGCTTGCCTAAGGAAAAGATAAAACAAAGAACAAATCAGACAAGGAACAATAGTAAATGAGGCTTTTAATTAAACATTCGAATTAGATATTTCTGTCATCTAAATGAACTTTACGATTAACTCTGCAAACATAGTTAAACTAAATGCTGTAAATATAAATCATCAGAGTCTTGAATCGCAGTTTTATAGCTCTCCTTTACCAAATACAAAACATTAAGTAGGCCAACTCACAATTAGCACAACATACAGTGAACTGTATGCACATGTAGCCAGTGCACAACAAAAAGGGTTGTGTTTTCCAACTTACACTCGTCATAGAAGCCGTAGATGCGGTTGATGGAAGCACACTCGTGGTTCCCCCTGAGCAAGAAGAAGTTTTCTG